GTAATCCCTACTGCAAAGCCACTCACAAGTCCAGTTTTCATCATTTCTGATTTTACAGACATGTATTCTTAAGGGGGAGGAATTTATAGAACTGAAAACCATGTGAATACCCTAGTCATGAGGTGGCTGATTTTGTCTGTCCAAGTAAGATGGTGCGGGTAGGGGGTGTGGTGGTCCCAGTGGCACACGCAGGAAGTCACAGGATGTGGGAGGCATTGTTCTGTGTGCCCTGTGCACAGAGTGTGTGATGCCCTTTGATGGGTTTGCAGCCTCATCTGGTGGACTTCCTGGCACAACCCTTCTTTAAGGTTGCTGCATCTGAAGCTCTCTAAGACGGCGTTTCCCTTCGGCCAGATTGCACTCTGTGCACAGTGCAGTTGCTTCTCCCTGTGGAGGGAGATGGGCCCACATTGTCTATGGCTCCACCTGGCCTTGGTGCTTATTGCTTTCTGCTCTGCTGCTCCCTTCATGTAACGAGGGTGTGTTAAGAGTCTGTAAGTGTGTTGTGTTAGATATTTAGGAAGGGAATGTTAATCCTAAAAATAGGTTTCCCATCTTTTAACTTCTATAAATTGACTGGACTTTTTCTTCTGGATTATCTTTTTATAATTAGAGACTAATAATACACTGATATGAAGTAGCTTTGTATCAGGAAAATGGATAAATGTAAACATTCGACTACCAGGAGAAAATAATATGACCTGATTGGAAAATGTATGGATAAAAAGCTAGGTTTAGTAGGTAGCCATTGATGAACAGAGTAAGTTAAGACAACCATTGGGGATTGTTAGAGCAGAGATTGTAGCTCCCTTCTGAGGAGGAGCTGACCAAAATGTAGTCCGACTCCTGCTTGACAGAAGAGGTACAGCCAAACTGATCCAAAGGAAATGTCAGAGGAGGCCAGGTGGGGATTATCAACAACTGTATTTGAGGGTTTGTTCCACTTTGTTTTGGTTTTGGTGAAATTATCACATTTTGCATGTTATATTACCTTGGCACTTGGAATCATGGCATTTATGCTGAGATTTTTTCTCCCTGGCGTCTCTTCTGTTTGATAGCATGTATGTACCTTTCATAATCAATATCAAACTGAAGTAACTTAAAAAGATAGATAATTGTATTCATTTTCTAGGGTTCCATAACCACAAACTCAGTGGCTTAAAACCACAGAAATGTCTGTCCTCACAGTTCTGGAGGCCACAAATCCAAAATCAAGGGCTTGGCAGGGTTGCTTCCTAATGGCAACTCAGGAAAGTTGAGTTTATGAGTTATGTATTATTTTTTACTACATGTAGTATAGTACTTTAGTAATTATTAAAACTTAAGTCATTCACAAATATCATTTTTCTTACTGGTAATAAAAGTTTTCTGACATATCTTACAGCAATATAGTTAAGAACTGATGCCCTTGATTAGCAGTTTTAAAAACCAGAGGCTTACCCTAGCCTGTCTTACTTTCCTAGACTTGTGTGGAAATGATTTGAAGATAATGGCCCATAACACCACATTCCTGTAAAGCCTGTGCTTAGAACCCTAGAGTGGTCTGGGAGATGAAGATTAAGACCTTGTTGTCCATCTCTTAAGGAAAATACCATCAGAGGAAAATGCAAATCTTGTTATAGGTCATCACGAGAATGAGGATTATAATGTATAGAAATTGGGGCTTAATTATCGGAAATAGTTCTGTTCTTGGCTCTAGTTTACTTCTGTTTGGAGTTGTTTTGTTGATTCTTCTCTATTCTCTTCTCTTCCTTTTCTTGAGTGGAAAGGAACTTGGGAAAGTCATGCGCTGGCCTTGGGTTGTCAGAGGAAACTTGGAATGTCATTGCCTTTTGGGCACATTTGCAAGCAAGGGGGTGACATATGCTGTGGTGTGGCCTGGGTGTGGGGAGTTGAGGGCTGTTAGCTCCATCATTCAGACATGTTTTAAGTTTATGGAAACTCTGTGTTTCTTACAAGTGCGTTTGTGCCCTGTATTTTCAGCTTGTGTTGTATGAGGTTCTATTCTTTGTTTTTAACACTTCCCGTCCCCACCCCATCCCTCCGACATGCACCTCAGACAGCATGAACAAGACAAGCTGCTACTTCCTCTCCTCTCTTACACATTGTCTCTTTATCTTTAATTACAACAAAATACACATAGCATAAAATTGCCATCCTAACCATTTTTAAATGTACGAGTTCAGTGCTGTTAAGTACATTCACATTATTGTGCAACCGTTACTACCATCCATCTCTGGAACTTTTTCATCTTCCCAAACTGAAACTCTGTCCCCATTAAGTGCTAACTTTTCATTCTCCAGCACCCCCAGACCTAGTAACTGGCTTTCTACTTTCTGTCTGTATGATTTGACTTTTCTGAGTACCTCATATAAGTCACATCACACACTGTCCTTTTGTGACTGTCTTATCTCACTCAGCATAATGTCCTCAAGTTTCAGCCCTGTTGTAGCATGTGTCAGCATTTCCTTTTTCAGACTGAATAATATTCCATGTTGTGTATAGTGTACACCACAGTTTGTTTATTCGGCCACTGATGGACATGTGGGTTGTTTCCATGTTTAGCTGTTGCAAGTAATACTGCTGTGAACGTGGGTGTACAGGTATCTTTCATTCTCTGCTGGGTGTACAGGTATCTTTCATTCTCCACTTTCGGTTCTTTTGAAAATATACCGAGAAGTGAAATTGCTGGATCATATGGTAATTGTATGTTTAGTTTTTTGAAGAACCTCCATACTGTTTCCTGTAGCAGCTATACCATCCTCCATTTCCACCAACACTGCACGAGGGATCCAGTTTCTCCACATCCCTGTCAACACTTGTTACTTTCTTTCTTTCTTTCTTTTAATTTGCCAGTAGCCTCATAATGAGTGTGAGGTAGTATCTCATTGTAGTGTTAATTTGCATTTACCTAACAATTTGTGATACGGAGCATCTTTTCATGGGCTTGTTGGCTGTTGTATCTCTTCTTTGGAGAAATGTCTGTTGAAGGAGTGTGACATTTTTTAATCAAATTGTTGGGCAGTTTCCCTTGTTTTTAAGTCAGAGTAGGTGATGTTTGTCTTGCTCATGAAACAAAGGTTATAAAAAAAGAACATGTTTGCTATGAAATGTAGTTGATGCAGAATGGAAAGATTTATAAATTAAATACTCCTTTATTAACATTTTAATGTGTTGAATTTAAATTTCAGAAGCATTCATCTTTCTTCTCTACTTGTACATTTTTGTTTACCTGACAGTGTAAAACCCACAACCCCAAAATAATGGCTTTTGCCCGTTTAAAATACTTTGTAAAAATAGTAGCCTAGTTACTGGTTCCTCTAAAGTAGCCATTTTCCCTTGGTTGTCATTTGTGAGCCCAGGCTTAGTCCTCAAGTCTAACATAGACTCCCCAAGGCCCTAACACTGAAGTGCTCTGAGCCCTACCACTGCCCACGTGGGCCCAAGAAGTGTCCCAGCAGTGCCCAAGAAGGTCACCTCCACCTGTGGAATCCACAGTGTGGGTAGCCCCTAGGGAGCCACAGCCATCTAGGCCCAGATTCACAGGAGGACGCGGTTACTGCAAGTATCTGAACCTGGCCCCACCACCTATGGGCAGAATTGATTCCAGCTCAGTGGTCCATGGGACGTCTTTAGGTTCACCTTGCTTTTTTGTCCCACACTCACGTGTTGGAGCTCAGCTGCATGGAGTGTCCTTCTCCCTGTACCTGTGAGATTAGTCAGCAGTCCTTTCTCCTTCCGTATTCTGTCTTTATTTCTGCGACACTATTTCTGGAGAACATTGTATCTGTGCTTTTCCTTTGATATGTTTGTAATTTTCATTAGAAAAGCCCTTTTAGATTCTAAAGCTTCTACATTCAGTATTTCAATCAATGATAACAAACTGGTATAAGACTAAATATGAAATACAAACATCAACACATTTCTATAAATTGGTGTTATAATGTCTGCTACAAAAAGTTCAGTTGTTTGTATGTTTTTCAAATGTGCTTTGCTTGTCTTGATGATTTACAACTGTTGGTACTGCTGTTTAAGTCTGTTCTGACAGTGAGAAATTGACTCATTTGGCAAAGTCAGCTGTTTTTACTAAAAGTGAATACTGGTGAGTAGAAAGGAGCTTGTATACAATTTTCTTGTCAAAGAACAATGAGCGGGAAATAAGCAATTTTAGTTCCTTGGATTTGAGCATCACTCTCGCATGCCTCCACCAACCAGCTTGTCTCCACAGAGCTTCCTTCCTCACTTTAGACTGAAAATCTGTTATCAGTGTGTGGAAAATAAAAATTTTACACATCTTTAGTTTTGAAGATATGGATTATTACTATTTACAGGTTTTTTTTTTCACTATAAGGAAGAAATTTTTTTAAAGAGTAAAAGGTGTTCACATTGTCTAGTTATTGCCTTATGATTTGATTTTCTTGTTTCACGAAGAAGAAAAACTTTTAATTAAATGTGTTTAAATAGTAAAAATATACATGTCACTTCTCCTGGTTCCACTTAAATGTATTAACATGTATTTGGTTGGTGCTTAATAAAAAAATGTTCAGCGAATAATTAACTTCAGCTAAACCCTTAAAAATATAGAGAGTAAGCAGAAATATTGAGTGGTTACTCAGCATGGGGTAAGGGATACAGCAAGTCATTGGTCAGTATCGGGTATCATCATATTCTTACCATCTTTTTTTCTGGAGTTTTAGTAGTTGTTTTTAAAAAATCTCTATGTTTTAATAAAGCATTTCGATGTTTGAAACTACCTTGGATAAGCATATCAAGACCCTTGAGAGGTTCTAAAACATGTTCAGCACTTTCTGGTATAATATTCTCAAAGAACCAGGACACATCTTATTTCTCAAAATGAAAAAAAAAAAATATTAGACATTACCCTTGTAATTTCAAGCCCACAATCTGTCACTTTGAAGTGTTTGTATCGTTTTACAAAAGAAAAGCCAAATGAAGATATCCCTGAAAAAATATTTTAATAGAATATATCTTTATTTCAGTATCTTAAATAGTGAAGATGGAGAAATATTCAATAATGAAGAGCATGAATATGCATCCAAAAAAAGGAAAAAGGACCATTTTAGAAATGACACAAATACTCAAAGTAAGATCATTCTCATTAATTTTATTTTGTCGATTATGTTGAAATACTAAATTACTGTGACAATGCTATCTTACGAAATAAAAGGTGATACAAATATGTAAATAACAGCCCAGTATCCAGCATCACCCACTTATTTAGTGGTCAGACTTTTTGCAGCTCAACCGTTTCAGTGGGTAAGATGTGCAAAAACAAAATAAGAGATGGCACAACCCACAAAACAGCCATGCATATGATCTTGAATTCAACTCATTCTTGAGCAGTGAGGCCAAACTGAGGGGTGTCCTGACTTGAGTTTCGAAGTGACTGAAGATTCAGAGCAGGAGACAGACATTCAGAGCTGTAGTTTAGGATGTTAGATGGCAGCAGGGGAAGGCTGGAGGTGGGACCTGTCTGTGAGAGGGCGTAGGGCTCTATCATGGCACTGCCTTGCAGTATATCCGTGAGTTACCAAGACACATGTTCGTCTATAGTAGGCTCCCTCACCTCAGGGGATAGACCTTCAGTGGATGCCTAAAACTGTGGATAGTACCGAGCCTTATGGATACTATAGGTTTTTTTCTGTATATACACACTTATAATAAAGTTTAATTTATAAATTAGGCACAGCAAGAGATTAACAACAATCATAAAATGAAACAGTTATAGCAAGATGGCCGCCATCGCTCCTCTTGCACTTTGGGGCCATTATGAAGTATGATAAGGGTTCTCTAAACACAAGCACTGCGATACCTCAACAGTTGATCCGATAACCAAGACGGCTACTGAGTGATCAAGGGGCAGGTAGTGTAGGACTCGCTTGACAAAGGGAGGATTCCCATCCCAGGCAGGACAAAGCAGGACAGTGTGAGATTTCATGACACCACCCAGAACGGCACAGAATTTAAAACTTAGGAACGGTTTATTTCTAGAATTTTCCATTTAATGTTTTCAAGCCAAAACTGACTGTGGGTAATTGAAACTGTAGAAGGTGAAACTGTGAATATGGGGGAGACTACTTTTTATGAAGAAGATAGGGTCACATGGAGAATACAGTTAGTGTGATTCTTGAAACTTTTAAGATTTATCTGAAAAATGTGTTTCTGTGGAGTACCATACAGAGCAATAGAAGAATAGAACTTTTTATTAGGGTACGTAGGAATTTAGTAATGTAATTGCATTTTATAATCATTTATGTCTTCATATGGCTTCAGTCGTTAATAATACTAATTTTCTTCTAAGTTACTAGGACTTGGTACTGTCTGAAATCATTGTTCATATCTTAAACTGATTTAAGAAACAAGGCAATTCTGTTTGCATTGAACCAAGTAAAAGCATTTCTTATGAATATAGTAAGTCAGATAATTTTGTTAACATGTCCAATTATTTAAATTCCTTTAAAATCTTCATTTTTGAAATGATTTGCCAGATTTAAAAAACCAAGTTAATTTTTATTCTAGGTTTTTATCGTGAAAAATGGATCTATGTCCATAAAGAAAGCACAAAAGAAGTAAGTATTCTTTTATAAATAAGAGAGTATCTTGGATTGTTTCTGTTCAATGTGGAGTCACATTAAATACATTTATTAATAAAGTTGCATAAAACACATTTCTTTTGCAATATCAGATCTATGGTTCAAATTCTGACAGATAATAGCATATGAGGAGCTTTTGAGGTAGTGATTCTCCATTGTGTGTGCTTGCATGTGCGTGTGGTATGTGACTGTATTTGTGCATACATTGGTGTGTGTTGTATATATGGTGTGTATGTATGGTTGTGCATGTATTTGCACACATTGGTGTGTGGGATGTATGGTGTGTGTTAGCATGTGGTATATGTGCAGTGTGTGGTTCCTGCCTACCTGTACATATCTGAGTCAGCAGCAGGCCTATTTAAACCAAGCATGGACTCCTGCAGTCATACGCATTTTCTCTGTGTTAGCATGAACCTCTGATGCTGATGGGCGTGTGTCCTCCCTGTGGCATGTTTTGGAGCGTAGGACATCTGTGAGCCCCCTCATTCCACGTAAAGAGTGGCTAACATGAAATTAGTAATTGGGTTGGGTTTGCGCAGAGCCGTGTGAACTCTTTCCCTGCCTTTCTTTTCCCAAGTTAGGCTAAAGCTTTTTCATGAGCCATAAGACAAACCAGAGAGCTTCAAGCTGTTTCCTGTTTCTTTACTAGGATCAGGGAAGTTGAGTTCCTTTTTTAGTCTTAGAAACTCTGCATTTGCTTTATTTTGCAACAATTGGGGAAAATAATTTAGGGAACTATTGTCTATCATCTGTTTTTTTAGGATAAGTTAAATATTCCAGAAATGTTTATAGATGCTCTGAAGCTAGTCCAGCTTCCTAGAAACTGAAGGATTAGATTCTGAGAAAGAAAACTTAATCTATTCGGTTATGGTTAGTGGGTATAGAATGAATCAGATCCTTAATATACACTCTAATATACCATTAGAAGATTGTTTGACAGAATCTAACCTAGTTTTTAAAAAACGAAATTTAGTGCTCATGAAAGACCATTAAATATTTCATCTGCTCTGTTGCCATCCTGATTACAGAGCAGAGGATCCCATCCAAGCTAGCATGTGCAGGAAAAGAGGATCTTATTGTGAGGCTATGGGAATGTTCCCTGGAATCCTAGGAACCAGGATCCTAGAACCAGGTTGAGAGGGACCAGAACTAGGACTGGGCGCTGGTGTCCCTGCACCATGTCATGTCTCCACACTGTCACCTGGTATAGAGCAAGTGCCTGCTGCTTATCCATGCTAGCTGGTGTCTCACCGCTCTGAGGTTACATGCTGTGGTTCTAGGTCCAGACATGCTCTTTGTGGTCTGCTCTGTGAATCAGATTTAATTTTCAGTTGTGAGATGGGTGGTGACCTTGGAAAGTGCCTGCTGCACCATCATGTAGAATTAAGAGAGAGAAATAAAATAGGAATATCAACTGTGAGGGATTTCAGATAATTATCTATATCAAAATTAGCATTTCCTTTCCCCCAGAGTTCCCAGGAAAATGTTTTCTGCATAGCAGGCACTCAGTCAACATATTTGGATGTTTTAAATGAATTTCGTTGAGTTGTGCACACAGTAGGGCGATTGGGGTTGATGCACAGAAGCACATGAGCCTCTGAGTATATCAGCTATCAGAGACAAAGGTGCTGTGACTCCAGCTGCTTTCTCTAGGACATCTCAAGTCACCTGTTTGGAATTTGAGATCGATCATCTCATGTTTTTTATTATTGTTCTCCAGCTTATTTATCTCTACAACTTTGAAATGAAAATCTGTAGATTTTAAATATTTCAAATATGGAGGATGGAAATGGAGTTTAAAATGACTTCTGAAACCTAATGTGCTAATCTACACAAACCAGTATAGGATAAGGGTGTATCATGGCAGAAAAACATCTAAGAGAATAGCAGCAGTGTTTACAGTACTGAAAATAAATTGTTTCATTTTCTTCCTTTGGTTCTTGGACCTGTGGATCTAATCACCAGTTTTTTTGGTGTTTTGGGTTCTTGGCATCCGTGCTCCCAGCCTGAAAGCTGCCCATGGTCACAACCAGCACTTGCCTTCAGCCCTCTCCATCCCAGTGCTGGTTTTCAGAGGCACCTTCTTGCTGCCGAAGCGCCTCTCCCAGCTGTGATCCTTGTGGTTGAGCATACTTCCAACCTGGCAGTGCATGCCTCCCCCGCAGAGAAGTCCTGTGTTTCAACTGTATATTTATAACACCTACATCCTTACAATGCAGCTAAGCACGTGATTTATGTATTTTTAGTTGCGTAGCCTAGTATAATCCAGTTTTTTTATGATCTTAGCCTTAATGTCATCCACACCCCAGTTTGTCCCCAGCAAAATAAACCAGCAAGATTTTTTTTTAAATTTTCTATTATACTTTAAGTTCTAGGTTACATGTGCACAACGTGCAGGTTTGTTACATATGTATACATGTGCCATGTTGGTGTGCTGCACCCATTAACTCATCATTTACATTAGGTATATCTCCTAATGCTGTCCCTGCCCCCTCCCCACACCCCACAACAGGCCCCGGTGTGTGATGTCCAAGTGTTCCTGTGTCCAAGTGTTCTCATTGTTCAGTTCCCATCTATGTGTGAGAACATGCGGTGTTTGGTTTTCTGTTCTGCAAACCAGCAAGATATTTAATATACATTTTTCTTTGTCATTACTTCAGCAGGTGGTAAAAAATGTCAGTTAACGGTGTCTCAGTTATACATAAACAGCTTAAATTATTAGCATTGCTATAATTTTACTATTCTCTCATCTAAATCTAAAATCAGTCTTCAGGATAAAAACAAATGTCCTTTGCCAAAATGTTTTTTTAATTGCACAATTAATTGACATTAACTGCCAGTTCTTTTTGGCTGATTGACTAATTTTAACTTCTGTGTTGCTCTTCCAGAGGCATGGCTATTGCACCTTGGGAGAGGCCTTTAATCGGTTAGACTTCTCAAGTGCAATTCAAGATATCCGAAGATTTAATTATGTGGTCAAAGTAAGTGTTCTACATGAAAAACTACTTTGATGACTCTTGTGAACAATTATATTTTGAAGATTGTAAGTGCACAACGTTTAAGATGCTTTTGGCAGCTTGAAGGTGTGCCTGTTCGCTGCATATAATCGAAAAACAGAAGGGAACAAGTTCAGGAGAAAACAGTGAGATTGGAGGATTTCTCCAGTGTTGGTGGCAGAGGTTGCAGAGCCTCAGTGGGAGCAAACAGTCATCTCCCTGTGGCTCTGTGGTTGCTGAGGATGCCACAAAGTGGTCCCCCGGGGGTTGCACCATGCATCTACGTACCGTGTCAGTGATGGAACGGTCATGGGATCTTTACCTGATGATTTCGCAAATGTTTTCTGCTTCACGTTTTTCACGAAGAATGAGCCTTACGTCACAGAGGAAGAAGTAGCTAATAGAAAATAGGAATTTCATACAAAATAGAATTCCACAAAAGCCTTATTGCATTAATGATATCCTTTTGGAAGAAACTTTTATCTTGGGCCACACTCAGAAAGAAAGGATCATAGCCATATATTCCATTTATTGTTTGCTTTTGTCTAAAGATTAATTACTATGTGATTTATGCACCTTCATTCTATGGATAAAATAGAAGCTATAGTTTATGAAGCTATTAATTTTGTGTTTCTAATGGTTCTGTGAGACATTGGAAAATGTTTCCTTTAATTGCTTTTAGACATTTAAAAGTGCTACTGGGAGGACAGAAAATTTAGGGAATTAAATAACTGTAAGTCTTAGATAATTTTATTTGTTATGTTTGGTTCTGAGCAGAATTTCCAGGGCTTCTTATGTAACTACTACTTACAACTCCTGTTGTGCTCCATTCTTCACTGAAGCCCAGCCAACACATGCAGGCTGGACTTCCCCGGTGTTTTCTGAGTCCTCCTTTAGATATTTACACGCTGGCCAGCAGGGTGTTCTCGATAGGTACCTTTCTTGTAGATGATGGAATGCACATTTGACTCAGCCTTGTGGAAATTTTCAAGACTTAAGTAGGCAGGAAAAACATCAGCAGAGAGGTCTGTTTAGCAGTAACTATTTCTCCATGTAGCTCTCTGATAGTTCAGACCATACTGAGTTGCTTTATAGTAGCAATTCTCGACCATCTGTCTACATAAAAGGATTTAATTCTTGGTGTGAGTGAGAGAGTAGGATGGGGCACAGGAGGAAGTCATTGGTTCCTGGTGATTTCTGTGCTGGGTGCCCTGCTCTGTCATCTTTGGTCACTGACTCTGGAGAAGGTGCGAGTGTTTTGTGCTTTATCAGAGGGGGAGTCCATGGACCAGGGCCAGTATTTTATCAGTTTCAGTCATTTGAATGACTGCATGATTTTTTTTTGTCTGTGTACCACATACTACTATAATTTGCTAAGTAGCTTTTCTTCAAATTTACTTTTTTAAACAGAAATACCTACTTGAGCCTCATCCTAAACACTAATACCTGTGAAATGGTAAATTTTCTGTCGGTCGTTTGTCTAATACATATAAAATAAATGCATAACTATAAAAATTAAAATGTGCTATGCACTCATGTACCAACTAAACTTACCTTGCAACCGTCTTGAGAAGGGCTGTGTTTCTCCAAACCACCTCTCAGAGGTGGAGCAAGGGAACTGGTGAGCCTAGGAAGCAAAAGGGCTGCATTGTTGCATGACTGTCCCAGCAGCCTCACAGGTCTGTGCATCTCTGTTGATTGCTGCCTTCGAAGCAGAGCCTTGCTTGGCTCATCTGTGTTCCTGCTCTGTGGGAATCCCACCTTCCCTCTCCTGCAGTCGCTCCAGACCTTTCACAAGTCCAGCAAAGTTACCTCTAAAAGGTGATTTGCTCATGCTCGCCTTCTGCTAAAAACAAAAACTAGCAGCAGCCTTTGTGACTGTGGGAAAGCCTGAGCCTGTGTCTTGCCTTGGATTGAGCTCCTGCATGTCCCCATCCTAATTCTGCCCTCCCTGGCCCATGCCAGTACCCTCTTCCATTGGCTTTCTTTCAGTGTGTACTATTTTTTTTTTTCACTTTATCAAGTGCATTTATCATGCATGCTGTGCAGGTATTTGGTATTTGTTTGCTGTTTTAAATGTTTATAGCAACACTTACTGCAACAACTGAGAGGATTCTCTTGGAGTTCTTCTAAATAATATGATTTTCCATAATTTAGGCTAAGTTGTCCATAATGTCACTCAGTATTATTAGAATACCTATAAACTAGAAACGTAGAAGCATTTTTTTGAAATGCTTGATAAAAGGTTTCCTTTTTTTCTAACAGCATTTAGTAATATCTGCCCTTAAGAATTTGTGTGCAAAACTTAATATGTATCTTTTTTGTTTTTTTTTTTGTTTGTTTGTTTGTTTTTTAGGTGGAGTCTCACTCTGTTGCCCAGGGTGGAGTGCAGTGGCACGATCTCTGCTCACTGCAACCTCTGCTTCCTGGGTTCAAGTGATTCTCCTGCCTCAGCCTCCTGAGTAGCTGGGATTACAGGCATGCACCATGATGCCTGGCTAATTCTTTTTTGTATTTTTAGTACAGATGGGGTTTCACCATGTTGGCCAGGCTGGTCTCAAACTCCTGACCTTAAGTGATCCACCTGCCTCGGCCTCCCAAAGTGCTGGGATTACAGGTGTGAGCCACCATGCCCAGCCTGTATCTTTCAACTAACATTTTGTTTTATGTAAAATCATTTTGTCCATCTAAACTTACGAATTTTAAACTGAGACTAATCAATAATTACTAGTCTTAGGATAAAAGCTAGTATAGAATATAGTGTTCAATTACAGATTGTTTCAGTTGTCAAAGATACGTAGTTTGGAATGGAAATTTCGTTTTTACTCTAATCTTTGAAGTTGAGTTTGAGCCAGGTGTGGTGTTAGAGGCATAAAATGGCCCCAGCTTTTGTTCACTGTCCAGGGGCAGATGCTCTTCACTCAAGGCAGGAGGAGCCCGTCAGTGTTGGCATCGCTGAGCACCTCCTGTGTGCAGATCAACGTACCTTGTTTTTTCTAACTAATCCTTTCAAGAAACTTTGAAATCCAGTTCTATTCACACTCCCACCATGAAATCTTGTTTGCCAGTGATCACAGGGTTTTGGCAATACCAACGCAAGCCTACCTGGCTGGGACCTTGGCCTCGCCACCCCCATCATATCAACAGCACCTCCCTGGCCCTCAGGTGTGCCAGTGGTCACGTGTTTAAGTTGTCTGTATCCCCGTCCCAGTTGAGCCCCAGGAGCAGGGGCTTGGTTTGTTCACTGCTGTTCACCCACTGCTGAAAATAACACCCCGTTTGTCAAAGTGGAGTAAGTATGTCCCAGCTGCAGTGAGGAGCTGCACTTCCATGAACTCGGAGGTGCCCAGCAAACCCAGGACGGCTGTAAACACAGAGAGGGAGACCAGTACCCAAAAGCTGTCTGGAGGAAGTAGAACTGGGTCCTGAGCCTGTAGGTTAATGTGACTGTGGGTTTTACACATTTGTTGTCATTCCCTTGGAGTCCTGGGCTTGCTTATAGCACTGAGAAGAACAGCCTGCTCCCTCGCCCCACTGGCAGTCAGGAGGTGGCTTCTGACAGCCAGGCGCGAACAGCCGCAGGCTTGGGAGGTGCATGCAGGGCAGTGCACGGCATGAAAGCTTCCTGAAAGCTGCACGGTGTGCAACTGAAATTTATAAAAATGTTAAATATGCTGTGTTTGCTACACACATCTGTAGGAAAAACGTTTTCAGAATTGTAAAGTTTATATATCTAATTTTAGTTATTTGGTAAATTATCTGAAGTACTTCATTCTCTGCCTATGGCTGGACCAATTAGATAGTACATCCAGTGTCACATACTTTCAGGGGTAGAGTATTTTTAGTTTAGTGTCTTGCCACCATTTATTTTTATGTTTTCATTTGCTTTAGATGTAGGCAAAGAGTCGGTCACTGTTGTCTTTATTCAAAAATTTCTGTGTCCCTGGGCGTTGCTCTGCCCCTCCAAGACCCCCCAGTGCTGTTTCCTTTAGCCTGCCTGCTCCTCATGTCTGGAGATGGACTTCTGCTTCCCAGTATCCTAGGGATCTATTAAATGGGGAAAAGTGGCCAGGTGCAGTGACTCATACCTGCAATCCCAGCACTTTGGGAGGCCGAGGCAGGAGGCCAGCCTGGGCAACATAGGGAGACCCTGTTTTTACAGATAATAATAAGCGAGTAAGGAAAGACATCTCAGGCTAGAATCTCTGGCTATCTGAAGATTTTTTTTTTCAATTTTTTTCATAATTTCTGCTAATGACTACGCCATAGCAGCAAGTTAATAGCAGCAGCCTCACAGCAGCGCATGGGAAAGATGCTCAGTGAGTGACCCTCAGCCCTCCCCAGTGTGGACTTGAGGGTGAGGCAGGGAGGGAGAGAGGCTCTGCAGCCACATGGCCGCTGTTGGAGTTCTCTCTCTTTCTTATTTATTTACTCAGGGATCTCAAGCATATGACTTCATTATCTCATCCATAGTATCTGGTAGATTTTAGCATCTACCTCAGAGCACTGTTATAAAGATTAGATTATTCCATCATAGGAAGCTCTTAGAACAGTCTGTACTCTGTGTTAGCCACTATTTTTATTTTTTTTTGAGGAGGATTTAGGCAGAGGGATGACAGCTGCATGGAGATCCATTTATGACCCAAGAGGTAAAGATGAGAAAATGGGGCCCAGAGAGATGGGCTGAAGGTCACAATGGAATCAAGGACAGAGACCAAAAGTGCAGTCATCCTGACAGCCGTGAAGAGCTTTTTCATTAAGATGTCATTTTCTAAGTCTATAAACTTTTATTTTCCTCTCATGTAAATTAAGTGACTTTTTTAAATGCGTCATGACTTTTTTTTTTCAATTTTTTTTTTTTTTAATTTAAGTTCTGGGATACATGTACAGAATGTGCAGGTTTGTTACAGGCATACACATGCCATGGTGGTTTGCTTCACCCATCAACCCGTCATCTCCATTAGGTATTTCTCTTAATGCTATCC